TTACTAATAGGAGGTCCGGGTGATGGTCACCTGGATGAAAAATTTAATCTTTAGTCTCTGAGAAAAAGAAAACAAAAGAAAAAGTGCCTGACAAGACAGGGGTGTGAAGCAGTTTGACCCGATGGCGGCGGTGAAAATATAGTTCGTCCACACCAAGCCTGTAATCACGATGCGACTCGATCATGGTCGTGTCCCTTAGCTTTTAGCAAAAGATTACTGAAATACAAAGAAAAACCCAGGTGCCTTGTTCAAGTACTTCTGTCAACTTCGAATTGATTGCTATTGCGACTACCTAGTGTCTACTAAATTGTTGGGGTTAGCACTAGCATTTATTTACCTTTGTTGTTGTCCCTTTAGGCGTCTCCCTAGCCTGCACTATTCTATCTCCCGCAAGGAATTAGTGGTTGGGCCTGGAACCGGTGCCCGCCGAGGCGCTCCTCGTTTCATTATATATCTTATCTCAATCAATGCTCCAAATTCCCGGGTCAGGAAGATCAAACCATCTCCTCGGAGTAATCGCACCTGGACGTGGTTGGTGAACTATATCTCGATATGCTATCTGTCCTATTATGGGGAGTATTGTACAGCATACTGCAGCCTTTTTTTTTTTTTTTTTTCTGTTCCCAACTTAAACGGGGTGAGTGTTATGCCATGTGCGGTCAGGTTTCAGTTTGGGGCCAAACCCACAGAGCGCAGTAGCAAACAGTGTACTTTTTTTTTCTACTCCTTAGGTACGGTGAGGACAGCAGGATACTACCTCGATGCCCAATCGCGCAAAATCAAGATTTGGTTTGATTACTCGTACTATCTCCAGAGGGAAAGTCTATCGTATGCCATGCCATGCCATGCCATGCCCTATCCCCACCTCCATCCTTAATTCGAAATCCCAATCACCGTTCCAGAACGCAGACGTCGGCAAAAGTTACCCGTGACGCCGGAAGACAAAGAAAGCAGAAACAACACTGGAGGGAAAGGAAACGGTATAGACGCCCCCTTTCTCCGAGTGGCCATTCTTACAAAGTTATCTACAGTGTGTGTGTTAGCCCGACTCCGAATGGCCACTGAATTATACTTTCTCGTCGTCTTGACTTTCGGCAATCGATGGAGTCTGATCGCCGTCTAGTAGGTAAGGCAACGCCCGAGACCCTCCCGCGGCTGCTGTCATCTGGTCTGCCCCTGGCATTTCCAACGACCAGGTAAGGGGGGGCAGCTGGTTAGAGTGTAGCAGATTGATAGCCGGTGGGCAATCCAGAACCTACTACGGAGTGACTAGCAGTCCGGTGTACCTTTGTCGGGCTGAATTAGGAAATTCCTTCTCGATGCGATCGAAGGTCTTGTACTCAATACTATCTACATGTACATACATACATACGGAGTCGTACCAAGAGGTCTAGATAATCTCCACTCCCCACGGGCAAAAGACCGACCGGGATATCCGAGTCATGTATTCTTTGTTACTTGTCTTGGACTACGGAGTACTATCTTATTTTCTTTGTCTTCAACGATTCAAGTACAGTAGTGACAGTGCCCGGGGGGTTCCTAACTTCTAACATCTTAGGTCCTAGACCCAGCGACGGAATGATCCCCGAGAAACTTGCGACCATGTAACTCTCCCCGCTCACTCCCCAGCACTTTTACGTCAGGTAGGTACCTACGGAGTAGTTAACCTTTTTATTTCAGTTTATGGTTGCAGCCATTAGAAATTGCCAATTGCTCCGGCCCTTGTCAGCTCCAGCGGTTAAACCCTGACTGTGATCAACCACCATTAATATTGGCAAGGTAATTCCCTACGCCATACTGCGGGCTTAAACTCTCCCTGGACGCACTACGCAGAGGTACACAATGCGACTGGCTTCCTAACCCGATTCAGGTAACTAGAGCGGAACGCTGTTTGTGCCCTCCTTCTTCCCTCTTCCCTGGTCAATGCTACCCTGGTACACACGGAGATGTTCGGGATGGCACATTTCCCCTCACTTGGGGAGTCACTCGATGTTCGGAGACCTGAGGTTCACGAAGAGTTCAGGTGATCATCACTTACTCTCTCCTAAGTACTGTTCTCTCCTAAGTACAGTATAAGTACGATAAGACAGAACTAAAACCAAGTGAAATCCCACAGTCCAGCGTCTCGGGCCATGCACAAGCCCCCCTTCAGCCGATCGTTCCTACGGTTGGAAGATCGTCTGGCGACGGGGACAGCTCCTCGAGCTGCTCATTGGTTCGCGCCGGCCTGTGGCTAGCGTCGGGGCACATTCGGTTGAGATCCGCCATGATCGAAGGGGGAGCGGAAGGATTGGAAATGACTGGCTTTGCTGCTGTCCGTGGCTCATCGTAATTTCTTTCTGCGTTTGGTTTGGATTGGATTTGGATTGGATTTGGGTTTGGGTGTTTGGACTTTCGTTTACCTGGTCTGTCTGCTCGCGGTGGTATCCTAATTCATACTAACTATGGATAATAGGAATGTTATTGCTAAGAGGGGAGTACTTTTTGTTTAATTATCGGATTCTTTAGAATGGTTTTCATGTCGTAAGCTTTTTCTCGGTCTGCGTACGGAGTAGTTATACAAGGATTCGATCAAGATTGTTCAAAGGGGTCGGGTCTGTATTGATCCGTGGTATCGTATTCTGTGTCCGTACCATGGAACCAAAGGCGTGCAATAATTCTAAATAGACCACCCCACGGTCGAAGTTCTACAAAAATATCCCGGACAATCAATATTCATAACAAGTCGGTGAATATTGCACCAACACTGCGCAACCTCGCCTGCATGTCCCACGGCCCTTTTGGAAAGGAAAAGGTGTCCGGACGGCTGGCACGGCTCTGCCGGTTTGGCCGGCCTGGGTATGTACTGGTACTCGCTGCGTAATTCAAGGTACTTAGATAGGTAGGGAGACTGGAGCATAAATATACTCGGGATGTACATACGGAGTTCTCCGTATCTACGACGCAGGTCTATGTAAATGCATGTCCTCTGTATGTAGCCAGATTTCTTTTGTTAAGTTACCGAGCGCGGTAACTGTTGGTGTGAATCACTCTCCCTATTCACGGAGTACGGAGTATCCGTACTGAGTCTTTCGTTGAACTCGATGATGACTGACACATACGTAAGCCCGAATCCTGAGGCATTATCTGTAGGTACAGGGAGATTTGCTTTGTTACGGCAGCGGAGCAGGTATCTGTACTTCTGTTCGTAGTTATCGTTCTAGAGCCCGGTCTACACCGAGTAAATGTACGGGGTAGGGACAATCAAATCTACGGAGGACTTTTAAACAGAACATCTCCATACCCTGACTAGTCCCAGTATGGACTGGTTACGTGCGACCAAGAACGAAAGAACGAAACAAAGAGAGAGTGTGTGTCTGTGTTCAAGCCCTCGGGGTGGCCCTGACGATAGGCGGGCCTGTGCGTGACCTCGAGGCCGAGGACAAGGTACAGTACACAGCCCTCACGACCGGCTCAATGGGTGGTCTGTGTCTGTTTGTGTGGATTGTAGTTACGTGGTACAAGTCTGCAATCCTTCCGAAAGCATACCTGGTCAAAAAGGCCTATACCAACCGTCACTGGTGGGAGATCAGACGAGCGAGGGGAATACGTAGGTTTGCTACGGGGAGCTACAGATCCGTCTCTTCCTCATGTGCGCAGCCAAAAGAACGGACTGAGAAAGGTCTGTTAGGCGGGGCTGGGGGTTGCCAGAAGACCAAGGAACGGGTACCCTAAGCCTAAGAGCATGGTCGGAGAGCTATCGGGTCTAGCGAGTACCTCGTCGGTGCCGGTTCCTGTCAGGTGGAAAATAGTAATTAAAATACAGGAATGAAAGGATAAAAATAAGTCTAAGAAAAAAAAAAAAAAAAAAAAAAGGAGCAAGGTCAAGTCCAAGCTCAACAACGGCAGCGTTTGGGAATCAAACCCAGTCGGATGTTGGCAAGCGACTGCCAATCAATGGTTAGTCCCTGGCACAAGCTGGTTAGGAGGAATTTTTCTGTTTGTGTTTTAATTCATTCAAAAAATATGAAATGAAAAAAAAAGCACCCCCAAGGCCTTGGTAGCCCATCCCTGACCCTGAGTGGCGGTTACATTCCTAAGCTAACTAAAGCACTAGCGACTCGACTAACAGGCTACTAGGGCTGCCGTGCTTTTGTCATTCATCATGATTAAATAAGAATCAGTAATAATTGACGGCGACCGAAATGTTTATTTCCACAGGCAACCACGGAGTAACTGTCCACCCGCTATTATAAATACTTCACAGGGAGAAGGAATACGAAGACCATGGACGGTCATCGGGGATCTAAGAGACACTAAGCCCGGCGATACGGTGCTGGGAGTCCGGCTGTGGTCTGTGGAGACCAATTATCGATACGCCACGGTGCTTTTGTACTGAAGAAGCAGAGGAGAAATGTTCAGAGGAGTCTGGGGCAGAGGGCCATGGTGAGCTAGTCCACGATCTACAAATAGTAAATCAAATAATAATAATCAAGTTGAAAAATGTCAGCAGGGAAAAAGATTGTAGAAAAAAAAATTGATTTTTAAAATGCTTACAAAAAGTAAATAATTGAATAATGATAAAATTAATTAATGTGGACATAGAAAAAAAAAAGAAAAGAAAAAAGAAAAACCAAAATCAAAATCAATTATCGCCCTACTGCATGTCCTTTGGCATGGCTGCAGCCGCAGTGGTACCGGTGCTTTTCGTTGTGTTTCGGCTTTGTTCAAGGATGATCCATGTTAATGGGTTTGGGGGGTAATCACTTCTGCCAAATCGGGAGGGGGAAAGGGCATGGGGGAGGTGTGGAGTGTCTGTAGTTACAGTAGTTGGTAGTTGGGACGTACTTCTTCCTCTCTTCTGCGCGGCGCTTTTAGATCCCATCTCGATCAGTCAATCAGTCTATCTGCCATACCCTTGCCCGTACAAAAGTCCGGAATTCGTCCCCTCTGGTCTTTTGCTTGTCTACCTTTATTATAAAGACCTCATTCTTCCCTATCACTTGGTTTTTTTTATTTTTCATTCTTCCTCCCGAACAGTCTCGACCAAACCTGCTTTACCCCATCTTTTCTCTCTGCTTCCTCTCTTTACTTCTCCCCATTTGAGAAGTATCCGTCTATTCTTCTACTTCTATCTATATCCTCGGGATCGACTCCAACCGCCGGTGTCACAACCCCGTTTACCTTCACAAAGAAGATATACTTTCATTCGTTCCCACCCTATCGCAGCTCGCCTATCAACAGATTCCTGTTGTTGGTGTGCCTAACTCGGCTATTGGCATCTCACCTGTATTCCTGCTGGGTTGTCTCGGGACCGTGCTTATTGCTTTTTCCCCTCCGCGCCCTGTGAGTAGCTGGATCATCCCATGCGCAACGTTCCGACCCTCCCTGTTCGGCGGCCATTGGTGCGCCTGGGGCTGCCAAACCTTGCCGGCGGGAAACTGCACCAGATGGCGGGGTTGTACCATCATCCCCTCCCGTTTCTCGAGTCCGTTCTGCTTGCTAATTTTATAGTCGTTGGTGTGGCGTCCGTCGCGACTGGACTCGTAGCTTTGTTCCTCGGACCCAGTACACTCCGTCCGTGAGGGTACAAATTGGCCTTCGATCCTCTCTCGACGACCTTGTCTTCTCCGGATCAGCTCGCTGAAGATCTTCATGCTTTCTCTTGGCTGTGAACACTGACTCTCGTGACTCCCAAAGCCAAGTTTGCTTAGCTTGATCCTCTTTGACCTTTTCAATTACTTCGAATCCTCGTGACTGCTCTTTCTCATCATGGTGGTCAACGCGTCTGTCTCTGGGACAGGAGCCGTGAAAAGACCGGCCTCGTCCCTACAAGATGATTACATCGGTTGGGAACATGCTCCGGTAAGAATCCATCATACAGTCGGGCCGATGTAGTGCTAACCCGTCACTACAGTCAATGGGAACCTCGATGCGATCTTCCATGGATCTCCCCTATCCTCATTACGCCTTGATCTACTTGGACGGAGCCGGAAAGCTCAAGGTTTCGGAGTCCTCGTCTATACGCGAACAGAACGGCACCGTCTTCACCCCGGAGGTGCGGGAAAGATTCTTGGAAGCCCTCGGAACAAGAATCGGATACCACAAGCCTATGCTGCGCAGTATGTGCCTCATTTTATCGGGTTGATCGTACCGATACTAATCACGAACAGGAGTTCCCGGTATCGGGCTATCGGCATACGGATATGGTCGCCCCGAGGAATTCACCCGTCAGAAAAAGAGACGCAGATCGTCTTACCAAAGCGCTGCACTGGAATACTCTGACCCCGTGGAGGAGCTGCCTCCCTACTCGGCAACGAACATGATCGGACTTGAGATCGGTGACGAGAAGAAGGTCCTGGAATATTATGAGAACGCTTTGAAACACTTCCAACAGATCAACTGCCGACTGATTGCGAAGGCTTTCATCAAATTTATCGAGCCTCGCAAGCAAGTCAAGCATCCTTACAACGGAGGCAGGCCTCGAGGTGCAGGCCAGAAGGGTGACCCCGAGAAGACGAAGCCGGATTGGTGGCCTGCATCGGTCAACCACAAGGAGCCTGACCACCTGAGAAAAGACCGTTAGTTAACTGCCCTCATATAATGCCCCACAAGTATACTAATGCTAGACCTACAGAGAGAGTGGCGCTTTTGGTTCACATCTTGCGCAAGCTTGACAAAACCGGCATCACCCCGGAAAAGCTCCAGGAAGTTGCGCATGACGCTCGCCGACAGCTCAAGCCCCCAGAGAAGATCGAGATCTTCGATGAGATCTTCCGCGTCCGACGCATGGAGCAACGATTCGAGAGAGGAGAAGTTGGTATGTGAAAAAGAAACAGAATCATTCATGATCAAGTCGGCTTATGCTTTGCCAGACGCCACCACCGTGGTATACGTGCTCAACCGGGATTCCAGCGCCAAAGGCGAGAAAGACGTAGATGCGGCCAGCGAGCAAGACCCAAAGATGGAGGACACCGAGGAGGAAGATGAGACCGACGACGAGTTCCTGACCCCGTCATCAGCGGAACAGGCATCCGGGTCTTTCACATCGACCGTTGACATGGGTTTGGCGGGACAGACAAGCGACAGGAGTCAAATATTCCCGTTGTCCGAACCGATCGGCCTTGGGGAGCAGCCTCGACACGACCGATCATTTTATTCCGCCTCGTCCGAGTATGCGAACGACTATTCCTCACCCAGCATGATCAAACCACCGCCGTCGGCATTAGTCAGTCCCAGCGAGCCCACCCAGACGTTCGACTACTTGGGTCCCGCCTCGTTCTCAAGTTCGACTGCCGGAGACCAGATGATGTCTCAACGCCCAGCCGCCATGCCACTGCAGCATTCCGTGAGCCAATTCGATTCATGGGCGCCTTCTTTCAGGCAGAACATGTTCGAGCCTCTCGAGTACGGCACTGCCGACCAGACCGTTGCCCAGGCTCACCTCCCCTACCAGATGATGGCCCACCCCCAAGACATCACGCACGCTCACGCCTTACCTAGCCTGCGCTGCGACAAACCAATGGATCCGATGTCCTTCCGCAGCTCAGCCTATCGCACAGGGTCCATAGGCCACTCCCACATGGGACTCTCGCGCGAGTGAGAAACAACAAGGGCATTTGTCCTGGTTTGAACGAATTGAATGACTTGTATAGATGATCGATAGACCTTTGTTACCTGATGGCGCCTGGACACTTATCAACGCCACAGCATATCTTGCACATAGCGCCTTCCGTTGGATTATTTTGTGGACATTTGAATTATATATAAATATTGTTAGCTTTCTTTTGTTACTGTGCTCTGTTTTTCATCGACTCTTTGTTTTTATTTACTGGTTTGCCGCTTTCTTTTTATGTCGTGTGTTTTGTTAACCGAAAGAGAGGAAAGCAACACAAAAAAAAGACCATGTTATAATGAGGGGGACATATCAGGCTTGAGGTGGTTTCGTTTGTTTGTTTGTTCTGTTTTAGCACCTGTGATTTTGGATAGATTCATGGAAGCGAGGGCGCTCGAGGCGGTGTTCAATGCTTCTGGCCATGTTTGGTCAGAGCAACGATCGATGTTTACAGTTTTTTGCGAGAGGCGGGAGTCTTTGAGTGTTTGGCGGTTGCGCGTGGAGTTTTACATCTTGGGCTGGAAAAAGCAGCGTGCTTGCCTGTTGTTAGAATCATGCTGCATTGGTAGTTTTCGTTTAATGCTATGTTCTTCAGATTTACTTCATCTAGTATTTTGATAGAGTATTTGGGACATCTTTGATTAGGTTCTGTCGAAACAGTGACATATTACTGCCCAGAGGAGGTCTTAGGAACCTGATAGTTGGGAAACATGAGACAACCGCGGAGAATATCGTCCAGAACATATTCTATCTATTAATATCTACCGCTGTTTGTGACTGATCCAGTTTTTGATCGAAGGACCTCTGCTCGTTTAAATATGTATCACGTGTCGCACAAGACTGAGCTCGTTTCGTTTCGTCCTTCACTTCGTTCTCATGCGCGAACAGCCAGTCAAACCATCAAAGAATTGTTTCTTTGTTGAGATTGAAGGAGCAACAGACTGCCGTGAGTATCCTGAGGCAGATTTAGAAGCTGGTACCGCTCCCAATGCCCAACTTTACTCTGGAGCATGCAAGGTGAACAATGTGTCCGGATGGAAAACCAACCTATACAAGATCACTGCTAACACTCTGTCCACCAAATAGTTAGATGACCCAACAAATTCCTTTCAGACCAGTCACACGCCGTTGACAATAAAGCCTACTAACCAAACCGCTAAGCTCAACATGGAGCCCATTCCCTCAATCCCAATGCCTTCATTGGATACGGAACTTTTCCGATTCGGACCTCGCCAAGTCGGACGCGCTTGATACTCCCCATGACATGATCTTCATTCCGTGTGGTTGCCCCGGCTTTTTGGAAAGCTGGGGATTGCGGGGTTTGGGGGTTCTTTCTCGTGAGGGAGGCTGTGCTTGGGGTCTATAAAAGCGAGGTTCTCATCAGTCAAGGTTGGGTTACTTCGGTCGGGGTAGAGTACGATACTGCGGTGACAATGGCACCTACACGTTCTAGCCTGAGCAAAGATGATGCGGAGTCGAAAGTTGTCTTGGAGAATCTGGAACATGTGTCCCAGGAGGAGCAGCTGCTTTCGCTGTTTCCAGTGCTCCAAGATAAGACTCCGGAGGAGCTGGAGAGATTGAACAAGGCTGTGGTAAAGAAGTTGGATTGGTGCTTTCTGCCTTGTGTGACTATGATGCTTCTGATGAGGTGAGCTCACAATAGCGACATACTCGAACACTGAGAAACATAACTCACCCATGATTTCTGTCTAGCTACCTTGATCGTATCAATGTTTCCAACGCCCGCCTGGCAGGTATGCAAGACGACCTACACATGACCGATACCGTCTGGTCTGCCGGCATCTCGCTCTTCTACGTTGGCTATATCATCTCCCAAGTTCCTGCCAACGTGCTCATCGCCAAAGGCAAACCAAGCATCATCTTCCCATCCATTATGTTGGCCTGGTCGGCTGTGACGATCTGTATGCCGGCTCTTTCGTCCGGTTGGGGATTCTGTCTCTGTCGATTCCTCGTCGGTCTCGCCGAGGGTCCGTTCATTCCTGCTGTGTCGCTACTCACCTCGTCCTGGTATACGCGTGAAGAGTCGCCATTACGAATGGGGATCTGGCACGCGGGAAACACGATCTCCAACGCGTTCTCCGGTCTGCTTGCCGCCGGCATTCTTACCAACATGGATGGTATCGCGGGTCTTCGTGCCTGGCAATGGTTTATCCTGTTGGAGGGTATCGTCAGTATTATCGTGGGAGTGCTGGCCTATGGCTTCATCCCCAATTTCCCCGACAACACCGGCAGTCACTGGTTCAATGAGGAGGAGGCCGCGATGGCACAGTATCGTCAGGTTCTCTCCGCCGGTGGCGTCCGCGAAAATGACGAAGGTAGTCACTGGGGCGGAGTGCTTCTGGCCATCAAGGACCCGTTTACGTGGTTCTTCTCGGCAATTCATTTCTCACTGATCATTGCGCAGTCGTTCAAGGATTTCTTCCCTTCGGTATGGGCATCCTGGCTATTTGTGTTAGAAACGAAAGCACGCTGACCATGTTTTAGATCGTCGGAACCCTGAACTTCTCCCAGGTCGTGACGTACCTTGTGCAGGCTCCACCATATTTCATTGCCTACATTGCGACCCTAGTCATATCATGGTCCTCAGGTAGAATGCTAGACCATTGCTGGCATATCGTGGCACCGGTGGTGGTCGCTCTCGTCGGCGCCGTGCTCATGATCGCAACGTTGAACCCTGGCGCGCGATACTTTGGGCTGGTATTGCTATGCACGGGGCCTTATGTTGGATTGAATGTAAGTCACCCACTAGCCCTTCAGATCACCTCTTCTGTATCAGTTCCGGAACAATACTAACATCTAAAAAATCAATTAGATTCAAATCGCCTGGGAAACCACCGTCGTCCCCCGTCCCCGAACAAAACGTGCCGCGCTAATCGCCATAGCCAATTGCGTCTCCTCCGTCTCGCACTGGTTCACGCCCTACTTTTTCCTTCGGTCGCAGGAGCCTCGATACGAGACAGGTGGGGGCATTATTATTGCGGGATGTGGGCTGGCGATTATCTCGGCCGTGGTGACTCGGTGGTGGTGCGTAAGGAAGAACAAACAATTGGATGAGGCGGAGGCGGAGAGTGGGAATGTGACGGAGTGGAGGTTTGCTACTTGATTCTATCGAGGGGTTTGTCTTACGGAGTACTCTGTGTGTTTGGATTGGGTTCTTTAGATAGTTCGAATTGTTGGTTGTGGGTTCTGTTGGACTTGGTAGGATATGATAGCGCGAGGTTGATGTCAAGCCTTGTTTTTTTACTGGTATAATGACAACTCCTGTATTCCATTCTTCGTAAAACATATCCTTACTCACAAAGTAAGAATCCAGATGAAGCCCTAGAAAAACGCCAACGCATTCGGCGGACTCGCCACACCCCCAGGAACCTAAACCCAACCAGATCAGCCCTGCCTCATCAACGGAGAGAAAAGAAAACCTACATCCAGCACCTCACTCGATACAAAGAACGTATACCTCCCATTCCGCTCACACATGCGACTCAACTCCTCGAGATTAAACAACTCCCCAATTGGCATCCCCCAGCCCGCCAGCAACCACTCGTGCAAATGCCACTCCGGCTTCGTACAAGGCCACACCTCAAACGATCTCGAGTCGCCTGCCACCGCGGCAATTTGTTTATCCCAGAGAAACTGCAGCAGCGGCTCTGAGGGCTCGATGCCGATATTCTCGGGTTTCTGTGTCTGATAGCGCGCGGAGAGCGTGTCTCGCTTTTCCGGGGTAAGGGTCTCGTATTGATGGATGTAGCCGCTGCGGATGAAGAGGGTGTCTCCTGGGAGGAAGTCCTCTGGTCTCAGGCCCTGGGATGCGGCGGCTTCTAGGAGCGAGGGAAAGGGGATGGCGTGGGGTGTGAATGCGTCGATGGTCTCTTTCATGTTGGGTTGAGAGGTGGCCCATTTGTACCAGTCGATGAGGATGCCTCGGCCGGCGATGCCTTGTTTGGCGATATCTTATTTGTTCAGCTTTGGTTTATTGGGAATCGAGAACTGCGGATCAACATACGGTGGATGCCGTTTACGGTCGAGGTCTGGAATTCTTCGGCTGTGTGGCCCATAAAATAGACCTGCATTTTGCGTCATCAGTGGATATCAAGCATAGTAAAATGATAGGGGCATAGAGACCTTTTCCTTCTGGTATCCGTAATGTCGGAACCCGTCCCATTGCGAGCTGATCTGGGAGTTGAATGACCACTGATAGGGGTTAATGATTTGTGCTATGCCCCAGGGGAACATGTGGTATACCTCATCGTCATGCGCCACCTTGACAGGCTCCTTGTTGATCAATTTCACATCTAAACATTTCCTGCCAAGTTTGGGATTCCACGGGCCTGCCATTGACCAGCTGTCATACATTAGCATAAACACGTTTAGACAAATCATAATTGAGTACTGTACATACTTGAGCGATACTCGTTCTCCAGTTCTGATTTCCTCCCGCGCCGCCTGAGCAACTACTTCTGGGGTAAGATGATTCAATGTTCCGATTTGATCGTCGGGGCCCCAGCGTCCCCAGGCATTTCCGTGCGGTCCGGCCTTGTCGAGCGGTAGACTGGAGAAGGGTGGGTGTTCTGATGCTGAAGCAGACATGGTGAGCGTTGAGCTATGAGGTCACTGGGTTGAATGACGGAGCCAAGGATGTTCACTATTTTGCTTGGTGTTGGTGGTTTTATAGTAGCGTGGGCGAGTCCGGATATTTTCCGATCTGCCGAGGTTGGTGGATGCAGTTGGACTGGAGAGTGGGGATGGGTTGTCTTCTGGGATGGGGATTTTTATTGCTTGCACTTTGATAGAAGATTGCATTATATGTGTAGTCTGTTCAATAATTGGCGTTTGCTTTATGCGATGCCTGAAAACGATCTCCCTTTGATATAGATGCATACGATGTCTAGACTACAGGGTATATTTGTACAAAACACTCTTATCGCCCTGCCGATCCAGCTCTTCCTGCGTAAACTGAGCTCGCACATCCTCTTCGGAAACACCTGCCCTCTGCTTGTTGCATTGTAAGAGAAGAACCTCGTTCGTTGCCGCCGCGATCATGCCGAGAACCACGATTGCCAAACAGGTGGCGTACCCGGACTTATACACCGGCGCTTCTTTGTCTAGGAAGATGTTCGTGCCAATTAAGCCTATATCATTAGCACTGTCTATAATGTCGAGAAGAACGGCGAGAAAATGTAAGTGTGACTTACTGCCAAAATTCCCCGCTGCAAGTACCCACGCCAGCCCGATAGATCGCTTCCATGACGGAGCGAGGTTATTCCCCGTCCATGCCGATATTCCCGGAAGGAGAGGATAGATACCGATCTGGGCCAGGACGATGGCGAAGTACATGACCGGGACATGACTGGCGATCGACGACGAAAATGAGAACAGAATTGCCAGCCCTGTGAGCAGTACGCTCATCGGTCCTATGACAAACGGGAATCGCCACGCAAACCGATCCGAAAACCGACCGACCACCCAGGCTGAGATACCTCCAGCCACATATGGGGGGATACTCAGTAACTGGGCTCGCGCGGAGCTGAACCCCAGCTCGGTGATGATCTTCGGCATGGTGAATTTGAACGCCGACGTGGGCGCCGCATTGGCCCAGGACATTAGAATGGCCAGGTTGACTTTCAAGTCTGTGAGCGTGGACCATAACAGACGCCAGGAGAACTTGTCGCCTTCTTCCGTGGCCGTGCGGACGCCGGCGAGACGCAAGCGGCAGTGAACAAACCGCTTCTCTTCCGGGGTGAGCCAGCTGGCCCGTTCTGCGCTCTCGACGATGAGGAAGGGCATCGCGAGCCCTGCAGCAACGGTGATGGCGCCCTCGATCAGAAAGATCCAGCGCCATCCTGCAATACCTCGCGCTCCGTCAAGCTTGGCGATAGCAAATGCGAGGAGGCCGCTGAATGCACCGGAAAAGGCGGACGCTGTGTAGAAGAGGGCAAGGCGTTCTTGAAGCTCCGTGCGAATGTACCACGAGCTGACTATGTAGACGGCACCGGGGAAGAACCCGGCCTGTGAATTTTAGTCAGGGATATCCTTCAAAAGCCAGTGCAGAATGCATGTTCATACCTCGACAAATCCCAACATCACTCGACAGGCAACTAGACCTTCGAAGTTCTTGACGACCCCCATACACGTCATGATGGTACCCCAACCGATGACCAGCGCTGAGAGCCAGATACAAGGGCGAACCTTTTTCAAAATCATATTGGACGGGATCTCTGCATCGCGGGGATATTAAAACGGCACAAATGGCTTTGTGACTGAACTTACCGAAAACAATGTAGGGGGCAAAAAAGATAGTCGACGCAATGTTGTATTGATTCCCTACCAGGGCCAGGTCCTTGTCCATGCCCTCAATCTTCGCATTCCCGATGTTGGCTCGATCGATATGAGCCATTAGATAGAGTATGGCTAGGATGGGTATGAGTCGACCATCGATCTACCACCAGTCATCAGTTTGGGGCTTTTCTCTGATCATTGAATATTCCCACCTTTCGAATCACACTCTTCCCTTTCTTTCCTTCAAAGGACTGCATTAACTGTGCATCCTCTTCGGAAAGCAGTGCATATCGATCCGCAGCATGTTCACAGTGAGCAATGTCATCTTTGTCGGCCATGCTGAACAATTGATTTCGAAATGACCAAGTATCAGCTCTGTGTTCTTGTCGCCGCAAGCCAAGGAAGCAAAGCTTTTTATCCAGAAATTCCCCCCCGAAAGAGGAGGTGTCATCCCCACGGGGCGGAGTGGAGTCTTTCTTGATAGTGCAACGACGTCGGAGCGACGACTAGGAAATTATCCGTCGGAGGTTGCGTGTCGGAAAGATTCCGGATGACTCGCAAGCTCCGATGCGGTTCGCGATGACAATGCCAGATCATGACCATATTATTTAAACAGGGGAGGAAGCTCTGAACGCTTGAATTATCTTCTAACATAACCTCCTTTGACAGTATTCTAATCACTAGTCGCTGCGTTAGTACAACACCAATTGTCTCATCATGGGCTCCATTACACCCCATCCCTCTTACAACCTCTCGAACCCCTTCCGAACTCGAATCCTCAATGGCCAAATCACCCCCCTAATGTCGATCAAGTTCGTCACAGGCAATGAGATCCCTATGATGTGCAAGATGGCCGGCATCCACGCCATGTTCATCGACATGGAACATTCTTCCCTGGACTTGCGCACTGTCTCCCAGTTAATTCTCGCCTGCAACTACGCCGGCGTCTCACCTGTCGTCCGGTCGCCCTCCAAGTCCCACTGGCACATCAGTCGCATCCTAGACGCCGGTGCCGCAGCGGTAGTGATCCCGCACGTGGAGACCATTCAGGAAGTCCGGGACATCGTACGGCACGCGAAGTTTGCGCCGCTAGGAACGAGAGGCTGCACGAATAACCAAGCGGTTCTGAATTTCCAACACGTGCCGACTCTCGTGCAGAATGAGATCTTGAACGAGCAGACTATGTTGATCCCGATGATCGAGACGCCGGCGGCCGTTGACATCGCAGAGGAGATTCTGTCCGTGGAGGGCGTGGACGGGGTGTTGGTCGGGTCGAATGACTTGTGTACGGATCTGGGTATCCCCGGCAAGTATGACAGTGAACTGTACCAGGATGCCGTGACGAAGGTGATCCAGGCGGCGAATAAGACGGGTAAGCCCGTGGGCATTGGTGGCATCGGTGGCCGGTTGGATATCTTGGAGAAGTGGTTCGCCATGGGCGCAACGTGGTCGTTGAGTGGTCAGGATGCGTCCATCTTGCAAGCCGGAATGAAGAAGATTCATGAGAACTATGCAGGGATTAGCGATAGGTTGAATCAGAAGGTCTAGTGGCCTGCTTATGCGCTTTCATTATGTGTCCGCTTTGTCAGTCTGGGTGAACTGTACATCGGTGCGTTTGGCTCGACCGCCTAGTAAAAGAGCATCATATCGTGAACCCTCCTCTGATTCACTTGAATTTTTCTGGAAGCCGATTCACTCGTCTTTTCTTATCGATGTAGAAACGTGTTGGCAGAAGGCTATTAAGTTAGCATTGGCGTGCTGATAGTAGCAGCACATGTCCGAAAAGCTAAAACACAGGCATCAGCTCTGCGGCAATCAATCAATCAATCAAAATTCTATTAACCTGATATAGCCTATCTATTGAAACGACAGGCTATGCAGGCGCTTCGCCGAATGAAACAGAATCTCGAGTCCGTACACCATATAAACCCACAAATACAGTAAAAACATCAAAAAGTAACACAACTAAACCGACTATCACACATCTATCACAACCTACTGCGCCTCCGGACGTTGTCTCTCTTTCTGCCCCGTTTTATTTACACATTCGCAATTAAATATATATATTCCTGTCTTCCTGCATGTTGCACAGCTACCAATTAAAACAATTGATTTTTAATCATTTCTTTTTAATAATCATCTTCATTTAACTCGAATCCTTTCAAAAAAATGTTAAATTCCAAGATCTTTTTTTTTTCATCATTGAAAAGAACAAAACAGAATTATTATAAAAAATCTATTCATTATATAAAATTAACAATATAATATATCATTTGCAAATAATTTATAATTACATTATAATTTTGTAAATGTTCGCACAATTTTTTAATTTGATTGAAACTTTTTATTATTATTTTTCAATTAATAAAATACAACAAACATTTTATAAAAACATATTTAAAAATTTAAAATTTTTCTTCATATTTATAACGATCGAAATCAATCAATTTTATTTTTATTGTGCGCATTTAAATAATTATAAATATTTAAAATTTGTTTAGACTTTTATAAATTCACAAAATCTTTTTAATTGACATTAATATTAATCGTTTAATAAATTTATTAATTTATTATCATTTTTATCACTTTGTTCATTATCTTTTAGATTTTTTAACAAATATCTGTTTTAATTATTGCCGCGAATTAAGCAATTGAATAAAATTTATTTTTTTGTGATTTTGTTAAATTTAATTTAATTTTAATTATTATAATTCTTTTTATTGCTTCGTTAAAATATTCATTTTTTTATTTTTAATATATATAAAAATCTAATATAATTCTACATCATGCAATCTCTATATATATAAAATTCTAATTTTTTTGTAAATGATTTATAACACATATTATTTTAATAAACGATCAAAATTTTACACAATTTGAATAATTGTTTAATTATTTGCAAAAATAATAATAAGAACAATATTTATTTATTTCAAAATGATTTAAATCTTCATTAATTTTTTTACATACACAATAAAATCTGTTTCAATTTTTAGATATTTTTTGCATATTTTGTCTATTTGTATAAAGACAATAACATCTTTTATATAATTTTGATAACCGGTATTATTAAAATATCAAATCTATCAATTTTCGTGACATATTTTTTTATATTTTTAAATTGCAATATTTGCACTGTCAATGACACATTTAAAAAACTTTTTTATAAAATTAATATATATATTTTTTAAGATTCTTACATAATTAAAATACAATTTTCAATTCATAAAAAATTCTTTTTTTGATTTCAATACTTTCATAAAAGATTATTCAAATTATTTTATTTTTTTTATATTTTTTTGTTTAACAAAATTCTAAAAATACATTATAAACAATCCAATTTATATTCAAATTATCATTTTTTCGATAATCTGTTGCATTTGTAAACGGATTGAAAATAAAAATAATTTTATTTTTAAAATAATTAAAACAATATTTTTAAACATTTTATTAATAAAAATCATTGCCTTTATCTTATTCAAAAACATTAATAATTTTTATTATTTTACATATTTGATATGTTTTTCAATAAAATTGTATCAAATAACAATTTCATAAAATATTTGAAAAACAATTACAATTGAATATATAATTTATATATTTAATAATAAAATTTCTCATGTGAATACCGCAATATTTCGCAAAATTTTTAGATTATTGTTTGTTTTTATCATCATCTTTATACAATATATAATAAAAAATAGGATTTTATTCAATTAAATTTTTAAATATTTTGCATATTTTATCAGCCAGATAATATAATTAATTATTTGATTTTTTATTAGCAACTAATCATATTTCAAAAATTTTATTTGAAATTTTTAAACATTCTTTTTTTTATTAACATTTATCAGATCTTTCTTCTTTCACAATTTTATATATTCACAAAAAATGTTTCGTTTTATCGTTAAATTGCAACACAAAAAATTTTTGAACTAAATGAATTCAAATTTGTTCAATACGAATCTAAACAAATGTCATTTTAATCATATAAACATTTTATTTAAAATGTGTTTTAATAGTTGTTGATTTTTTATATAAAATTTTGATATCATTAACATACATATATCATTGATTTAATCAAATGTTTCAATTATTCCAACGACAGACAATTGCATGATTATATTATTATACACGTTGATTTTTAACATTATAATTAAAAACACGTGTGAAAAAAAATTAAAAAAATGAAAGATCTCTGTGAGATTTTTATAAAAATAAAAATATTAAATTGTTAAAAAATTCATGTCATAAAAATATCAAAAAAATTTATTAAAAAAAATTAAAAAAAGAATATTTTTCAAAATATCTCAATTTTCTGTTCTGCGATTTCCGCAGATTTTTTATTTGTTTTTAAAATCAAAATTAATTTGTTATTGATTTTTTTATTTTTGATTTATTTAATTGTTCATCACAATCCGCGCAATTTTGTTTTAATAATCTTTCAAATCCAAAAATGATAATTTTAATATAAGATTTTTGTTAACATTTTTTTTTGCAATTTTTGACCTTCACATAACAATTTCAAATTAATCCGATCATAAAATCAATAAATCTTCGTGTTATATAAATCTTAATATATTTGCATTTAAATTTAAACGTAAATTTGATCATTTTGCGACATTCCAAAATAAACAAAAGCTTTATTTATTTGTTGGATTTCGTTCATAAAATAAAAATCACGATTTTCTAATTAATTGTTTTTATTAAAAATTCCATGACAAATTCTATATATTTTTTCGTTTATAATAAAAAATTCTTATTATATAAATTTAAATTCACAAAAATCTGCAAATCTTTGATTTTACACATTTTTCAATTGCAATATATTTATATTATCAAGATTTTGATCTGAATGTCAATAAAAATCTTTATAAAAAATGATTAAATTCATATAAATTTATTTGTTTATTTTGCAGGCGACAAGTCAAAAAAACAAATTCTAAAAATTAAAAATTAAATTGATTATTGTTCACGCGCCTGTTTTGTTTTAAATGATAATATCTAATTTTATTTATAAATTCAAACATCTTTTATCACATATATTTAAAAATTACGTGAAAAAGAAATTTCAAAAAACATTCTTTCTTTCTCACGTTAAATGATGAAGATTGAGTT